TTTGAAATACTTGGATTATAATACTTCCCTGATTATAATGAGACTACCGGAATATCTCTAATAAACTTTTAAGGTCTCTAGACTTTCTTGAAGATTACAAAATAATTTAAGCGCTCTCACAATTTTCTTGAATATATTGTAACATCAGCATTAGAGTTCTCTGATCTTTCCGATTTTTCTAATTTTTAAAAGTTATCAACACTGCAAGCACGGAACTTCCCATAAAATGTTCTCACAATGTGCTAATGTTCATGTAACTTCCCTTACGTTTCTTAAATTTGCATGAGCCCCTCGGAACATTGCTGAAGTTTTCGGAAATTACCTGAGTTTCTCGGAACTCCTTTAAAATTTCAGCGATTTCCTTGAAATTTATTGATCTGTCCTGATGTTCTCGGAGCTTCCTTAACTGCTCTCAATTCTCCTGAAACTTATGGAACTGTCCTTAAAACCATTAAATTTTCCAGGAGTTCTTTGGACTTGTGAAGCATCCAAAATATTTATGATGTTTCCTTAAGTTCACTGGACTTCGCTGGACCGGGTTTTAGAATTTTAACAGAAGTTATTGAAACATTCTTCAATTTATCGAAACTTACCCAAAATTCTGGACTTTTCTGAAGTTTCAGAACTTTTTAAAAGTTCCTGTAGCTAGTGTGTTCCGGAAAAGTTAAAAAAAAAAACTGGCGGGAAAAGATGGAAGACTCATTCGAGCGAAGGTTGAAGAAACTTCCAAGGGAAGTCAAATAAGTTTCCGAGAGGAATCGTAAAATAATTTACGATGTAAGGTGAAAGAAGATTCAGGAAGTTAAATAATGTTATTAATCATTCCACCGGAATTAACAGAAAGAGCCATCGACTGTTTATCGATTCATGGGTATCCAAAAACGGTGAGGAAATTGAAACATTAATCGAAAGAGTATCCATAAAATATTTTTAAAGATGTATTTTTTTTTAATTTTAAAGTCTCAAAAAATTTGAGATATTAAAAAAAAAACAAGTCTCTAACAATAATTTTCTCCGAAATTCAAGTGCGACAGGAAATAATCTTTTTGATTATTTAATAAAATCGGTATAAATCGGTATAAAACCTCAAAAATCGGTATTCTGAGTGACCTTATCTGTATATCTGTATCTAGTTCGGAACTCGGTATAAATACCGATAAATCGGTATATCTGGCAACGCTGATGAGCACGGACGCGAGATTTACTAGAGTATTAAATGCAAAACGCAAATTCAAAATAAAACTTGACAAGTCATCGTCAATCCCCTTATTCTTGGGCAGGGTCTGACGATGTGAATCTGATTTTGATCAGTGAACGGGCCCATATGGTACATTTTCTCACAATGAACATGTCATTTCCAGCCTATCTGAACTATTTAATAAATGGAAACCATAACATGGGTTACGCTTCCCCTAAGCGGGCCCTCCGCATCCTATCTCTGTCTTATCTCAAATGCCAATGGTTTGAATGTATCAATATATACATTGGAAATGACGTTCAATCAAATAAACCCATACCCCACTCACTTGGCCAGGCTTCAGAATCGTCCAGTGGGCAGTGCGCTCTACACTCCAAGTTCCCTTTCTTTCAAATTCACCCCAAATTTGATATTTTACCCCTTTGAGTGTTGATTAATCACAATGAAACATTGTGACAGAGCACGGACTTGAGGTTATTAGAGTATTAAATAATCTAGGTCCTATTTAGGATTATATCTGAAAAATCCAAATTTGGCCAACGCCCACCAAAAAAAAAAAACGAAGCTCTTTCAGATGATATACAAAACCCGATATATTTTTCAAAATTAAAGAACCCAATTGAAACATTGAGTTGTATAAACTTGACGAATCATACCTCTAAAATAGTAGTAGTTACAGTGCCGCATTATCTAACAACCACTGCCTGCAACTAATGTTGGAGGGGTCAGCAGGGCTGATTACGGATCAAAACTAACATAACTCTAACACTGAAATGATCCCGAAACTAACGCTCATTCATTGCACTTTGAGTCATAAAGTAGTTTTATTTATTTTCCTACTAATCTATCTACACACTTAGTTTTTTCTACCGAGCTCGGCTGTGCGGGTCTCGGCGGGGAGGAGGTTTCGCTGAGATCTCGGCGGGAGTGACATTTGATTGCTGAGTCTCGGATAATGCCTTTTCTAATAATCTGCCTACGTTTCTTTTCTTTGTTATCTACTTTATTCTCTTTTTGTTTTTCTGCTCTTCTTTCCTCTTCTCTTCTTTTGTTTTGTTTGTTTACATATAACTAATACTAATGCCTCCTTGTTTTCTCTCTAATTTGTCTACTATGTCCCATCACGATGAGAGATGAGCTACCGTACATGGTACACGCTCATATACACTCCCAAAATAGTATGCCGCAAGTAAGTATATCACAGAGGCAACTAAAGATCCGGAAACAAAAACCGATAACGCTGAAAATAATGAGCTGTGGTGATTTATATGACTATATAGTATTATTTATTTATACTAACCTAAACACAACGTGGGGTGACCCAAATCCAAACGATCACTAACCAAAATAATAGACTTATCTTTTTTCAGCAGGTGTAATTTCGTTTAGTTCTGTTTCTCTCTTTTCAGCAAAACAACAACAAAAAACCTCTATAACTCTTCTCTATTCTTTTAATCTCTTACTATCCCGGAAACTAGTGGGACTGCCTGTGCAAACAGAAACAGGCCTGCTAGTGGAAGAAGGTCGTTATGCTATACGGTCTAGCATAGGCCTACGGCCAGGTTTCAGTAGTCGCTTAACGGTAGATTGGTTCACAGTGGTCGACCAGGGTGTGTCCTGCTAAATTACAAAATTACAATTACATCATTATTTCATACATCAGCTTGAATTACGTTGATCGATATTACATTTTTTTTTGCTGTGCACTACACCAGCCAGCAAAGTTCAACAATCCATCGTTGCTTATGCCTTTGTTGTCGTTTGGAACCAGTTTTGCGAGGTAGGCGACGATTGTGCGTATTTCTCGCGTAACTTTTGAAAAGGGCCTATATATAGCCTGAACAATACGTAAAGAGCAAATTGAAACATTGAACGTCGCGTGAAAGTGGAACTTAATGAAGGCCTAAGTACTTTTTCGTAGTTTTTAGTTTTCGGATTTGAAAGATCGTCGGTTACAGTGGCCTGCTTACTGAGCAGAAAAACATATCAAAGAGATTTATGGTAAAATCGCTTGTGTATCGTGTATTTTGCGAAACTCGTTGTTGTCGTTGGTTCCGGGTTTGAATGGATACAAAAATTTGAGCAACAGTATTATGTTATATCAGGGGCTCGGCGGCCTTAGAGCAACCGTTTTTGCTTACTGAGCAGAACATCATGAGTCTAATCTCAGGCCCATCCACATTCAAGATTCGTCAATCGTTTTATTTGTTAATATGACTACATGGTAATAACAGCAACTCGGTGATTAAAAAGGTGCTCCTCTGCCTAGTGGCAAACGTTTTTGCTTACTGAGCAGAAGACCGTGGGTTTAGTCCCAAGCTCCTTCGCGTTATATGATCGTTAGGACATCAATTCAGCTTATCGTTTACCAAAACGAACCCTGCAGCAAACCCAACCCTCTTATCTAACATCCCAGTGATTCCTTGTGGAAGTGCATCAAAGCGAGTGTCATGTCAACACAATCCTTCCTCCCATTCCTTTCTTGACCTTTGTTCGGGCGCGGCCGGCGCTGGTATTGCCTAATTTAAGATCACCAGTTTTTACACATTAAGCACGATTGCTAGTCCCAAGCATCGTATATTGGTTCTCTGTGTAATTACAGCTGATCTGGCAATAACAGAGTAGCAACCGTGGGCGGTCAATCAAGCTCAAGCTCAAGCGTAGTGGCATTCTCAGCATAACATTGTTACGAAGCATTCGGGGTTGGACGTTAATGTTTACTTGCTCCAAGATTGACATGCAATCAATTCTGCCTTGTAACGTGTCCGCGACAAGTAGGGCTTTTGAAGTATCTTTTCTGGTGCGAAGAGACTCCAAGTCGATCAGCTGGCAGCGACTTTCATAGCTGTGCAAATGAAACGGGTCTCTCCAAGGTAACATTCTCAACGCGTATCGCAGAAAGCGGCGTTGAACGGACTCGACTCTCTCAGTGCCATTGTGTACCTTCATCACCTTGTCGTAATCCCCTTCGAGATTCAAACGGACTCGAGAGTGTCCCCGATACTCGAACAACGCACATCACTCGATCCATCGTCACCTTGACCAATTGCGTCAGTTTATCCGGAAATCTGTACTCGTGCATAATCTGCCATAGTTGATCTCGATCGATTGTGTCGTATGCGGATTTTAAATCGACACGTTATGGGCACGTTGTATTCGCGGCATTTCTGCAGAACCTGCCGAATCACGAAAATTTGGTCCGTGGTAGCACGGGTACCCATGAATCCCGCCTGGAGAGTACCTTGTACCGGCGAGTGTGATCGCGCGATAGTTGCAGCAATCCAACTTGTCGCCCTTTTTGTAGATTGGGCATACGACACCTTCCATCCACTCCTCCGGTAATATCGCCTCCTCCCAAATCTTGGCAATTATTCAGTACAGCGCTTCTTGCAGCAGTTCTTCACCACCGTATTTTAATAGCTCACTAGCTCACTGATCCACCGACAAACTGACATGACACTTAATTCTGACTTATGCCCGAAAATCGTACCCGTTGTTCTTCAGCCGACCGATTTCCTCCTCAACTTCTTCCTAGTTAGTATTTTAAAATTTTATGGCGAGCTGATAACCAACAAGCTTTACCTATTATAGCAGCATGGTTTCACGTAGGTATAAGACTAATTTGGCATTGCAGCTGGCCTAGACGATGCGAATTCCATCCGTGCTGAACTGACTCTGTGCTTGTCCCTGGCCTTTCTCGATTATTTACTGAACCAGTTTTCTTTGGACACGAAACAAACCACGCATATTCCAATTATAGGATGTTCTTTCGTCCTATTTCATCCGAATACTGCTATTGTGATGCGCTAGAATATTCATGATTATCATTTATTGAAAATTGTTGTTGGCTGATGGCGCACAAACCAGTGTACTCCACGTTCTAGAATTGGCGATTATAGGTATTTGTTATGTGCTTATACTCTAAAAAATAAACTAAACATGCGTATTCGTAAGGGGATAAAATAATGTCATTTGCAGGAATCGACCGACAAATCATCAAAAATGCTAAAAGTACTTGTGCGATTCGCTTTGTAAAATAAAATAATCAGTTCAAACACGCACCACCGGATGGGGTGCGCTTTGGTCATGACGAGAAAATACCCACGAGAAATGCAACTCCGGTTTTCGCTCACTGGCATTAGGTTGCGTGTTCCACAACTTCCTAGTGTTCCTTCTTCTTCGGTTTCTTCGGATTCCGCGAACGACTTTTGGCTTTGCACAGCGGACAGATCGGTGCATTGCGATGGATCTGCTGATGGCACGAGAGACACGACTTCATCGGTGGTGGTTGTTGTCTGTGAAGAGAAAATCTTTAGACGATTGTGAAGAATGCTCGTCGGGGAAAGGCCGAGGCGAGGATAATCAACGGAAGGGTCGTAATTGTTAGCAACTCAAACAGATGGTTAAACCGAAGGCGATAAATGAACTGGAAACGAAAAAAAATCACCTCAGACTGACATTGAAATCAGACCTGAACGTGGGATGGCCGATTCCGATGGACGATGGAGCGGGCTGGAGACGGTTGGTGGGCATTTCCGGTGGTTTGTTGATACGCATGGCTACCGGTGGTGGCGGTAGGAAACCTGGTGGCGCCGAAGGAGGCAAAGCCGTCACCGGACCATCCGGAGGCAACGGATGGTGGGCGGACAGGGCTGGCCTGGCGAAAGCAACCGATGGTGCCGTCATTGATTTGTTTCCTGTGTAGTAGTTTTGGAAGCGGCTGCAATGGAAAAGTACACATATTAGTTCAGGAATCCCCTACAGTTGGGAACATTTTTACTACTCGGGAGAGATAATTGATCCCTCATCCTCGTGCAGTTCCGGTAGTCGTTCCAATCCTAGGTACTCCCGACGCATAGTATCGACTTCCGTTTTCAGTGGGACGTATTCTTCGTGAAAGCGATTTGCCATATTGATGGACCGAATCCGGTTCTCCTCCGCTTGTTTGATGACCGTTTCCATCTGTAAGAAATATCAGAGATTAACCTGCAATTCCGAATTGAAACAACGTTCAACGTACGGCATTAATATCGGCATGGATCTGCCGCAGCTCTTCGACGTGACTCATCTTCTCCTGCATCAGGAGTTCCAACTCCCGGCGATACTCGGAGAGGCACTTTTCCTCTGCATCTCCGTTTTCCACCTCGCGGATTATTTTCAGCTTGACTTTCTCCAGCTGAAGGGTTTTCGAACTGAAAAAAGCGTCATTTTTGTATTCCAAGATAAATTATTCCTGGATTGAGTAATCTTACCGGATATCCTTCATGGCTTCGAGCTTTGCATAAATCGTTCTCTCGTCTACGGCTGTCATCTTTCTTGATTTGGAGTTTTGCACTCAATTTCGTTGATCTACTGCTTCCAATTCACTCTTCCAATTCTTGCACTTGAGTCTAGATCACTAACATGCTATTTTACCACAGTAAAATCCACCAATTTTCACCGGAAATCACGATATTGCCAAGGTATGATGTTCTACGGTGATTGATGCTGCAGAATGTTGTTGATGGGGAAAATGGCCGATTAATCTTCTTTCGCATCCCAGCGGTCACCGTTCACTCTTCGTGATGATGATGGGTGAGTATTTTTCCGCTCTTGCGCTCCGCTCACCGTAGCATTTCTGTTGCTGCTGGTTTTCCACACTGCATCCTCCCCAGCCGAACGCTTTTCATCAGCACGTCGCCCACAATCCAAGAACGGAACGATGGCATACGTAAACAGGCGCTATTCGCACAACAGTCCCATGTGGATAGGAATTCCGCAGGACGTGGGACTGCTATGCGAATAGAGTAACATGTGAGCGGGCCCAGGAGCGAGGTTTGCGTTGGTTGAGAGCGACAATTAGATTATTTTTGTCTCTCTAAAGGTGTATTCAGATCTAAGCGTACATTAGCGGAGCGGAGCAAAATTTGCGTTGGAATGAGAGAGACAACGAGTACTTTTCTCCCTCTCGTATCTTCGCAAAATCTCTCTCCGCGCGTGAAATATCGCTCAGATCTGAATACACCCTTAATTCTAACGCAAATCCCGCTCCGCTCCGCTGATGCACGCTCATGTCTGAATACCGTTTAAGGGTGTATTCACATCTGATTGTGCATTAGCGGATCGGAGCAAAATTTGCGTTAGCATGAGAGAGACAACAGTTGTTAATAGTAATTTTATCCTCGCTTTTATCCCTCTCGTGCCTTCGAAAAATCTGGCCCGCGCGTGATATATCGCTCAGTACGAGAGGGAGAACAGTGTTAGTTGTCTCTCTCATGCCAACGCAAATTTTGCTCCGCTCCGCTAATGTACGCAGATCTGATATTACACGCGCGGAGCAAGATTTTGCGAAGGTACGAGAGGAAGAGAAGTATTAGTTGTCTCTCTCATTTCAATGCAAAATTTGCTCCGCTCAGCTAATACACCTTTAAGGTGTATTCAGATCTGAGCGTACATTAGCGGAGCGGAGCAAAATTTGCGTTGGAATGAGAGAGACAACTAGTACTTTTCTCCCTCTCGTACCTTCGCAAAATCTCTCTCCGCGCGTGAAATATCGCTCAGATCTGAATACACCTTAAAGGATCGCTCTCACATCTACGAATGGACCAGGAATGTTTACAAACAAAAGGAGAGAGCGGTCTGAGACGTGAAAGACGTCAAGTGAAAAGTGATGTGTGAGAAACACTTGATTTCGGAGTCATTTAATGATAAGTGAGAATCGGCAATGAAGATTTCTCAGATTTGTACACTGAAACAAATCAACATGTGCGGTATACACGCTATTTCAAAACTACCCCAATTTGGGTAGCCTTCACCCAGATCTGTCAAAACTGAACCTACCCAAAAATGGGTAAACTGTGTTGGGAGGGACAAGTCGACAAATTAACAACGTTGTTCCCGTAGGGAAACCAAATTTTCAACAGCAGCTGACTAGTTTTCAGCAACGCTCAAACTGTCAACATTTATTATCATTAGCTTACAATTTTTCTTAATATTAGATGTTACTTACAATAAAGTGGTTTCCTTTCCCACTGATAAAGCTTCCTATTCTTCCTCCTACACTCTCTCTGTTAATCCTATTAAATTAATTAATTTTAATTAATGATCACTCATCACTAACGATACGAAACTTACGATTTGCTGTATAATTTGCGCTTGATCCGAACTTCGGTCCAATTACCCTAACGTTGTTGTGCGATATGCTCGACCTATTTGCAGGTGCTATCAAAAACATTCTAGTTACTAAGAATATGTGTATCATACTTTATTTTACTTACAATCTAATCCAACGAGGAATGGTAGATACTTTTTGGGTGAATGTATCCTTTACAGGTATCCACCACGATCGACCGTCGCTGCAGGTAAGTAAACGAGGGTAAATATTTACATTCAATTTCATACACTAACTTAACTCAATTTTATTCTTTTTCGTTTACTTACAGGATTTAGCGATAAATTAGGAACGTTTTTTGTACCTCCTGCGACCAATCTAACACTATTTATATGAGATTTTCGATTTATAACTTTAACCGCGGAACTGAATTGTTTATATTCTAATAATACATCGAGATTATATTTGCGATGGCGAATTATGTTTACCACTCACTATTATCATAGAGGTAACTCTAAGACTAGTAGGTCACGAAGAAACGTGCTCAACTTTTTGGCTCAGCTCTGGTACTCTCTTCGGTCCCAAGCTAATCGATTCACCCCTCGAAACATAGGAAAAACCGATAACCCCCCATTTTATCTGTCAAACTTTCATAGCGAATCAAAACAAATACTGTGTAGTAGTAGAATTTCGACTAGAATGGGGTACGTTAATCGTTTGCTTGGGACCAATAGGCTAGTCAAGTAGTGAACCAATTTAAAATCGTTAGTTTCGTATTGATTGTTGCTATTATCTATATTACTACTACTACCACTACTACTACATACTATCATCATAGAGGTAACTCTAAGACCACTGGGTCTTGAAGAAAATCATTATTATTTTTGGCTCACTCAGTACCAGAACAACGGTCCCAAGCAGTCCCAAGCTATTTCACTCACCCCTGCATGTTCTGCATGAATCCACACACCCCTGATGTTATCTGTCAAACTTTCATAGCGAATCAAAACAAACATAGTGTAGTAATAGAATTTCAACTAGAATAGGGTACGTTAATCGTTTGCTTGGGACCAATAGGCTACTAAAGTGGTGAGCCAATTTAAAATCGTTAGTTTCGTATTGATTGTTGCTATCATCTTGTTTACTTATCTCCATTCCTATTTGTCAACATTTAACGGCAGCACTCAATCTGCAGTACCGTTATGCAGTGTTGCCAGATTCACCTCTGCGGTGTTGCAACAAACGTCGATCGGATTCATGTCGATGTTGTTCATTTGTGAAATTGTAACTCCCAAAACAGTTTACACATTTTTGGGTAGGTTCAGTTTTCGATCAATGCAGATAGGACCTACACGGATAGAAATATCCTTATACCTTTTGGCAAATTTCCATTGCTGATTATTCATAAAATGTATAAGTCAACTAATAAGCAGACGCCTTGCAAAAAGTTAATAAAGATCATGTGTCAAATAATGAAATGTATAAGCGGTCACACATACCTTTTATGCATTCTAATAGGACCTATGTGGTTTGTCTTATGGAATGTATAAGGCTGATGCTTTGGCAAAAATGTATAAGTGAAACACATGAATTAAATAATTGATTTTCGTTTCGTGTAGGGGGGGACGTGCTGTCAAATCAGCCTACTGATCATTCTTGTATGAAACTGGTTCCAAACGTAAACAAACGCTGTAGGTTTCTTATGGCTTGTTTACGTTTGGAACCAGTTATGCGAGGTAGGCGACGATTGTTCGTATTTGACAGCCACCTCCCCCCTTGGATAGGATCTTTTGAAATGTTTATCTAGAGTTGTCCATGGTGGGTATATAAATGGTGATACTGCTTTGTCACTATCCTGTGCTGCACTGGAAGATGCTATTTTCCGCATTGTCCCAGCTCGACGACCTCCGCTAAAGCCTATACATGGTCTAACCCACGCCTACGCGTGCTAAAACGTCAACGCTCTGCCGCCCTCCGAAAGTATTGTAACTCTCGCTCGCCGTACTACAAACGACTGTTCAATTTTGCGAGTCGTAGTTATCGAAATTACAATCGTTTTCTCTATAATCGACACGTGAGACGCACGGAAGCGAACCATCGCACGAATCCGAAAAGTTTTTGGTCGTTTGTCAACTCCAAACGGAAGGAATCCGGGTTGCCTTGTTCCATGTTTCTCGGGAATGACTCGGCTAATAGTGAAAGAGAAAAATGCGACTTGTTTGCTCGTCATTTCAAGCAAGTGTTCCACAATTTCTCCGCTTTGCCAACACATGTGCTGGACGCTACTGTTGGGATGCCACGTGATGTGTTTAGTTTCGTTATTCCGCGCATTTCAGAAGACATGGTGATAGCCGCAACACGCAATCTGAGTTCTCGTTCGCCGTCGGACCTGACGGCATTCCGTCATCAGTTCTAAAACGTTGTGTAGCCAATCTCTGCCTTCCACTTGCGAGGCTATTCAATCTCTCGGCACAGCAATGTGAGTTCCCCTGCAGCTGGAAACTTTTTTAGCTGTTCCCTCTGCACAAAAAAGGAGATAAACGGAATGTCATAAATTATCGTGGAATCACCTCCCTGTGTGCCTGCTCAAAACTGTTCGAGATTATCATAAATGGTGCTCTGTTCGCACGCTGCAAAAATTATATCGATACAGAACAACACGGTTTCTACCCGAAGCGCTCCGTGTCCACGAACCTGGTGCAGTTCACTTCTAACTGTCTGCGATGCATGGATTCAGGATGGCAAGTCGATACTGCGTATATATTTTTTTTTTCGGGAGTTGACCAACTGCAGTCTTAATAGGCTAGCATCTCGGTTGGGCTCTCCATGCGATACACAATACTTTCAGACGACTCGAGCTATGGTGCTCACTAGGTCACTGCAGCATTTAGGCTCGTATTGTGTGTTAGATTACGACCATAAATCCGGAGAACCCCGAGATCTGTGCGCAATCGCCCCTGCAAACAAACACGCCAACAACCGGTCTCCCGCGAACAAAAGAACAATCCTGCAAACAAACTATACCATAACATAGAGGAAATATTCCTCTACCTGTTTGTGTTATTAGTTTTTCCAACCTGAGCCCCAATTCGCGAGAAACCGGCAAATGACGTGCCCATCAAAAGCAACTACGCTCCAACCTCGAAGATCTCCGGAAATATGTGATAAATCATGTAAATGTAAATGGAATACAGTAATGTCCCGATTTCGTCAGCCTCCTTTTTAAAAAATGTATTCCAATGTTCTACAAAACCCATGCCCTCTTTTCGGTAATCTTTTTGAACCTATTGCACCAAAGTATACTTTAAATATCCCTCTTAACGATGAATGAGAAAAAAAAAATAGATTTATGGGTATGTGAAATTATTGAAAGAAAAAAGTCTGAAGCGCGGAGGGGCTGCCAAAATCGCGTCATTACTGTATTTAAAATAAATAAA